ACGGCGGTATACGGTGGTTAGACGGCGGCGGGCAAGGGTGGACATGTCAAATCCGGGCTGCCCGAGCCCGAACCCGAATTTCTTGCTTGGACGGGCGGGAATTGAGCCGGCCCGCCCGAGCCCGAAAAAATTCGGGCTTCGGACGGCCCGCCGACCCGAAGTTCCAGCACTACTTGTACCTTACCTCACATTGATTTTTCTTCTTTTTTTTTTTAGGGGGTTATTTTTCTTTTCTTAAACTTGTATTATTTTCTTTTTATTGCCTAACAAAACAAAGAAACGGTTTTCTTGGATTCATTTTGATTATTTGTACATGACGAAATTAATGGTCACATTATATTGAGAGCCAATAGACAATTAGGAGTCCGTTAGAGCGTAATACGACCGCCTAGAATCAATGTAGCTGTAATATAAATAAAGCTACAAAAACATATGTTTTTGGATTTTGTTTTACAACACTGTTTTTGTAAAAATGTCTTAAAAATGAAATTTTAAATGTTATATTGTTTAGATATTGTTTAGAAAGATGTAAACAATGTTTTCGTAAAAATGTTTTAAAAATAAAACTTTAAATGTTATATTGTTTAGATATTGCTTAGAAAGATAAAAAACATAAGAAAAAAATAAGGAATACTGCAAAGGTATACGTTCAATTGATGAATTAATAACAGAAGCAACAGTTAAGGACTACAACAAAAATTGTCCTTTTAGTAAAATTAGTTAATAGTTTAAGTATTTATATTTTACTGCTAATAACATATACTAACCAAATTATTACAGAATTTGTACTAAAAACATAAAAAAAGATTAGATAACATAAATAATACAAAGATAAGAAACATAAAAGAATATTTACAACCGTGTGATTGGAACTAAATCTACTAAAATGTTCCATAAACAAAAAAATGGGTTCAATTGGCGAACCAAGAACGGAGGTAGTGATAAACAGTAGAAGAAAAACTCTTCAGTAAAATTAGATGAAAATATGTTTATAAATGTTACATAAAAATTATCATGTGCATCAAAAGAAAACGTTAGCAGATTAATATAAGAAATATAAAGGAAATCTAACTTTTAGTCAAATAACAATAACTTATGTAATATAAACACTAAACAATGTTTTACAAATAATATTAACAAACTTACTACAAATATAATTATAATTATATAAAACAGTGACCATATATATTAATAGTTTAATATAAACACTTAACAAATCATAATAATATAATACATAAAATTTTAAGAACACTTAGAAATAACATGAAAGAATTAAGGAAAAAATACCTTAGAAGAAAGGCAATTCTCTGAAATAACATTTTCCTAAAGAGTGACTGCAACAATTCAAGAGAAGAAAAATGTGAAAATATTGAAGAAAATATTAACAAACTAAAAATCAAAACTTAAGAGTTTCTTTTTAACATTAACAA